AAACAAAATAAGACCTACCCCGAAATTAAGACCTAGTACCATTTTTGGGAATTGCTAAAATATAAGACCTACCCCGAAAATAAGACCTAGCTGTGACCATTCCCATGGCCGGTGCTGGCATAAGGGGGAACTTGAAGAGCCGCGGGAGAGAATCAGCGGTGCCAACGAAGCCAGCGCTAGAGGAAGCGAGGCGTCACCGGAGGGATCAGAGCCGCATAAGCCGATGCTTCCTCTATAGCGCCGCCTCCTGTCACAGGCGGAGTGATACCAAATGTACTCCGCCTGTGAGGAATCGATAGGGAAAGCGCGCTTCGCTCATTCTGGTTACCAAATTGCTCTTGGAAAAGTACGGCACCCCTGATTGCCCTGACCACACTATTCTTAACTTTGCCATTTTGGATTATTTAATTTGGATTTGCAATAATTTTGGATTGTTGTGCATAAAAGAAAAAAAAAATAAGACCTACTCCAAAAATAAGACCTATTGTGTTTTTCTGAGCCAAAAAAAATATAATACAGTGTCTTATTTTTGGGGAAACGCGGTATATATCTGGTTTTATTTAATGTGTTAGATATTATTTAATGTTATTTAATGTCTGATTTTATTTAATGTGTTAGATATTACTAGGAGCACTGTATTGTTTTCTTTTTTTTTTGTAGAGCCACAGGAAATCTCACCGCTTCAATTCCTTAGCCGCCATCAGGACTCCACAGGTGCTAGTCTAATAGGTGCGTCTCCACCTTGGAATGTAGTACCGTGTTTCCACTGTCTTATATTTTTTTTCCACGAAAAAGACACTAGGTCTTATTTTCGGGGGATGTCTTATTTTTACCTGGTTGCAGCTGTCTGGAGCTCTCCGCTCTCTGCTCCGAGCAGGGTTAGTACAGGATAGTCCCGGCGGCAGACAGTACCGGGTTGGGAGAGGAGTACTCACAGGACTGGATGAGGTCCCGGAAGGCGGCGTGCTGTTGCCGGTCCCGGTTTCGAAGTTGGCGGATGATTTGCCGCTTCCATTGGGCGCGCGGGCAAGGGGGCGGGAGCTGCGGCCGGTCTTGACATTTAAAATTCAGTTATATGTGCAGCTACCCCGAAAATAAGACTTAGCGCTATCTTCAGGGATTTCTGTAATATAAGACCTACCACCGAACTAGGTCTTATTTTCGGGGTAGGTCTTATATTACAGAAATCCCTGAAGATAGCGCTAGGTGTTACTTTCGGGGTAGGTCTTACTTTCGGGGAAACACGGTACCGTAGTATACGAACAGACCGCACTATCCAGAGAATTCCAATACTTCAGACTTTATTGAAATTCACAGCAAAACCAGTATAACAGTGGATAAAAGTGTATAAAGCAACAAATACCAGCACTCCGCACCCCCTCTGAATAAGCCTATGGGTAAAACATGTGAGAGGTTGTAGCTGGTTGGGGGTGTGCAG